TATTTTTAGACGTATATATATATCTTCACTTAGCTTACACCGATGCGAAAAATTATCGAGGACGGTGTCATTCAGTGCCTTGCAAAACAGAAGTCAACATAGACGAGAGATATTAAACGTAACGCGCGGTTTGACAAGCGCAGACGCTGCAGGTTTGATACAACCCGACACGGGAAGCAAGAATTTCCACAAATCTCTTGCAAAATGTGATTTCTAAAGCATTTCCCATCTCTCAGGCTTGATTTTTCCCAATGCTGTTTGTTATCACCATGGGATTTAACTGATTTCAATCTCTTGCTACGTGCTTGAACGCCCCGAGCATCCTTTTTGCTGTATTTCAGCATCTTTTAGGTCAAAGTACTGTGTCTTTAGGTGGAATGTAAGCATGACTTGTCACATCCAAAAATAGCATCCAAAATAGCTTTTTCTGGGGCTGTGACACACCAAACTTTACCGCTTTGGGGTTTTTTTGGGGGGGATTTCAGCAGTATTTTTGGCCTTTAGGCTAAGAAAGACAGCGAGGCTCAACCGAAAGCAAAGCAGAGCTGGGGTTAACCAAAACCCGGCCAAAAATTCAGCCTCGCTGCAGGAAAAAAGGAATAAAATCATGTTATTTCTGTGTCTTGCTGCAAGGAGGTGTTTGCAGCATGCAAGGTGTGGGGCGGGCAGGTCTGTATGTACATGGGTAAGGGTGGTTTTTAGGATGAAAGGGTTAAATTTGCAACCCGGCTGCGTGCTGCTTGAAAAAAACCCCATATCTGACCCTCCCAAAACCCCCATGGGGTGTGTAAGTGCTCGGTGCAACGCCAAGGTGTGCCCGGGGAGAGGGGTTTTGGTGGCAGTGGAACGAAGGGGGTTAGGTAAAACCCTGCTTGTTAATAAAGAGGATTTTCGGAAACGCTCTTGCAGGGATGCCAAGGACTGGGTGAGCTCATCTCTGCCTGGTCCCTATTAGGGTGGCCTCAAAGAGGAGGTGGTGAAGGCCATTTTTTTGGGGGCATCCAGCTCCATCACTATCCTGCCACACATTTTGGGGTGGAGAAGGAAACTTTATTCCCAAATTCATCCTCCGGTTGCCTAAACAGGAAGCGACGTGCGCCCTGTGCACCCCAAAGACGACCGCAAGCAAGAACGAGGGGGTTCAGGGGGTCCCCACGGGTGACATCTGGAAGCTGCAGGATCCAGGGCACATCAGTGCAGGGCAAAGAGGGTGAGGAGGAGGAGGGCGGCGAGGGAGGCGTCGGCGAGGTGCAGCCGGATGCCGGAGGCCAGGCGATAGTCCTGGTACTGCTGGATGCACATCTCCCGGATCACCTTGGTCACCACTTTGGTCTCCAGCTCCGTCTCCGTTTGGTTGCCGGCCGCGCCGGCCTCCGAGGCGTTCTTCTTGGCAGCGGGGCCGATGTTGTACTCGGTCACGGTGATGTTAAAGCAGTCGGCGACGAAGACGTCCTGCGAGACGGGTCTGTTGTAATCCCGGTAGTAAACCTGGTTGGGGTACCGAGCCGAGTTTTCGTTCCACCACCGGTACTCGTCGGGGCTGTCGAAGCGGTAGTGCATCCCCGACATGACACGGCCCATGGCGTAGCCCCCCAAACCTC